CTACTACTACTACTACTACTACTACTACTACTACTACTACTACTACGTCTACTACTACTACCACTACTACTACTACTACTACTACTACTACTACTACTACTACTCTTTCGGCTACTACTACTACTACGACTACTACGACTACTACGACTACTACGACCACTACGACTACGATTACGACTATTACTGCTACCACCACTACTACAACTCCTACTACTACTACTACTACGACTACTACTACTACTACTTCTACTACTACTACTACTACTACTACTACTATTACTACACTACTACTACTACTTACTATTACTACTACTACTACTACTACTACTACTACTACTACTACTACTACTACTACTACTACTACTACTACTACTACTACTACTACTACTACTACTACTACTACTACTACTACTACTACTACTACTACTACTACTACTACTACTACTACTACTACTACTACTACTACTTACTACTTACTACTTACTACTTACTACTTACTACTCACTACTCACTACTCACTACTACTACTACTACTACTACTACTACTACTACTACTACTACTACTACTACTGCTACTGCTGCTACTGCTGCTACTGCTGCTACTACTACTACTACTACTACTGCTACTACTAGTACTACCATTTGCATATTTCTGAATCGATGCAATTCGGTGCCTTTTTGCTTACGCTCCGGTGCCCTCTTGCTCATCTTAGCGTAGTGCTCGTGCGCAGACCAAAAACTGACACCAATTCCAACTCGAGCACGCATGTTGGCTTCCAGATCCTCTGCGTTGACATAAGGAGTGTCACTTGGTCTTCGCAGTCGTCTTGGGCTTCTCTACAATTGAAATCCTATTGTGGGGCTATCCCAAGATGGTTGGGATTGGGCCCAGTTTGCTTTTCGCACTGGTCGGGATTGGTCCCAGTTGGTTGGGATTGGGCCCAGTGGGTTGGGATTGGGCCCACATGCGGGACTGGCTGAGGGGGGAACATCGAGTTGGAGTATGTAATGCCTGTCGATAGATCGGTGATGGGCCTCCGATAGCCACCACAGGGGGAAATGGGGGATGGGAAAGAGGGATGAAGGGCCAAGGAGGACGGAGGATTAACAGGGTATCGGACGGCGGATGTGCCCCCCGCGAAGGTGGGCAACGATGCGGGGCGGGGGACAGAGGGAGTGCAGAGGGCAAAAAATCCAGCCCGATGATAACCACCCCGACACGCGAGGCCGTTTAGCAAACGCACCTGCAAAAAGGAGGCCAACTGCATGATTGAGAGGACCACGCGTCGGCGGAACCGAGGTGCACAAGCGAACGCACCGACGGGTGTGAGCGGGCAGGCGGCCGAGCGCGGTCGACGCAGAGAGACCGGCCACAACCAAAGGAATCATCGGCCGGCACCCTGCTCAGGGGGGCAAAGACATACGGCTACTGTTACAGTCGACCCAACAACCCACGTCGAAATCAAACGTAAGTTTTGGATATGGATAGGCGAGCGAAACGCGATGATAATGCAAGACAGCAGAACATCCTTCAAGAACACGAGACCCTCTGCTGGCCCAGATTGAGGAGCCTTCGAGGGTGCCCTCCCCCAAGATGCACCAGAACATCCAACAAGCACGAAGAGCATGAGAGTACCCTCCCCGAACCGACCTCGATCTTATACCTCGGTCCAACTGTACTCCACGGGCCCCCTCCTGGAACACGTTCTGAACAGGATTTCGGTGCGAATCCAGCCATAGCGACGAGGGAAGCGTACTGTTAGGTCGGCCATGTCCTCCTACAGGCGGATTTTGAAGACAAATGGAAATAGTCAAACACATCCAAAAACAGACAGAGATAGTCGAAACATAATCCCCGAACGAAGCCCACCAGCCCCCTGGGCTCAGGTGACCTAGGGCGTTTCCTTTTCCAACCTCCTTCGTTCTCCTGCTTGGGAGGTTTACCTCCCCCCCACCCCTCCATGCGTTTGAACGGGAGGGGGGGGCCGACCCATAGCAGCGTCCAAAACGGCCCAAGATGGCTCCACGAGGGCCTCAAAGAACGCAAGATGGCATCCAAAATGGCCCATGATAGCGGTAGGTGGATCTAGATAGCCTCAAGATGGCCCCAAGACGGTTTCAATTGCTGTTCAGAGCTTTCGAAAACCCCCAAAGAGGCCACAATCCTGCAACAACCTAAGGACAATCAATGATTGTTGTCTTCTCGCTTTTTCGCCTCCGATGGGCTCTTGAGGCCTCAAGATGGCCCCAAGACGGCCCCAAGAGCGCTCCAAGAGCGGGCCACGAGGGCCCCAATACGGTATTTTTGAGCCTCCGAAAGGGGGGGGAAGAATTAAGGACCCCCCTTTTTTTAGCGAAAAGGGCCCACGACGGCTCAAACAGGCCCCTCAGGCATCCCAGAAGAGCCCCCAAAAAGGCCCCCAGACCCCCCAAAAGAGCCCCAAGAGGGCCCCAAGAAAACCCTAGGAGAGCCCCAAGATGGCGCCAAAAAGGCCCCAAGCGGACGTCGAGAGAACACCAGAAATAATAATAATTATATATATAATTATATATATATATATATATATATAAAAAAAAAGGAAGCCCCAAGAGGGGCCCAAGAGAATCCCCAAAGAGCCCCCAAATGCCTCCAAGTTTCGGAACGCACACGAGCTTAATAGACACATCAGTGCAGCAGCCATTACGAATCATCGAAACACCCCCTCACCCCTCATCGAACCACCATCGTAGCTTGCACCGACTTCAACCTTAAACTTCCATGCGGGAAGCTACGTGTGATTTTTTTCTCCGAATACGGCTGCGCGACTGCATGCGTCCTGCCGCCCATGATTCACCAATTCTCCTGCTGATCGTTTCTGGATGGGCTGGCGGGGAAGCTTTTCGCTTACCGACCGCTAGCGGAAGACGGCCGCGCGGCGTGAGTAGGTCGATCGCAAACCCGGCCTACGTGGAACAGGGCAGAAGCCTAGACTACAGCTGGCACGCGCGGGAAAGAAGCGACGCGGGGAAGGACGAGGGGACGACGAGACGAGCAACGAAAGAGGGGAGCAGGAGAAAAAGGCAAAGCCGCTCAGAGGCGCGGGAGCGAGCCCGGGACCACCAGGAGCACGCCGTTCACAACGTGCAAACCCAGCGCCAGGAGCCAGCGTGTGCCCTGCACCCTGTGTGCACCAGAAACCAATCGTCGAGCGTCGTGAGACCGCCGGGGAGGAGCATGGACTATTCGGCATGGAGTGCCACGACCATGGAGGCTGGTGGGGATACGCGAAGGGCAAGAATTTGTTTTTACATTTCTTGAATACTCCACCTGTAAAGGGACATGCCCGACTTAAGCGCATTGGTATTGGCATCGTTTCCTCCTCTGATGCTCTCCCTCCCCAAAACTCGGCACTATCACGACTCAACCAGTGCGCATGTGCGCTTGTCCTGGCCTTTGCGGAAGTATGAGCCACCAAATGTCTGCGAGTGTGGACAACGAGCAAAGATTTTTTGCAACCGGTGCGGTGCAATCTAGGTGGTGCCACCAATGTCGTGCAATCCAAGTGGTGCAATCTATCTGATGCGGAGCAAGGACAATCAAGGCAAGGCAATGCAAAGCAACGCAGCGACAAGCAGCGACGAGCCGGCTAGACCGACACTGGGGACCGGCGGCGCCGGGCGACGATGGGCGGAGACGAGCTAGCTGGACTGTCACCGGGGCCCAGTCTCGTCAGAACGCAGCGAAGAACCCGTCGAATTGCAAGCGCTGTTTGGGGAAACGTGTGCAGTGGCCTGGTCTGGAAACCACGGGGCGCCGGCAAGTCCTGACAAGACTCTGCCGGGCCACGATGTAGGAGTGACGGGAGATAGCAGGCTGCATCCGTCGTGATACCATAATGAACGCAGAATAAGGAACGAAGGGGCTTTATAAGGAACGCAGAATAAGGAGCGAAGGGGCTTTTCTGGTCACGTCGAGCCTTGGCCACCAAGAGGTTCCCGAGCCTGGATCTCAGAAACGGCCCGGAGACCCGAACTCCTCCCGAGCCAAAGGCGGTCCTTAATTCAGCGCGTATGTCAGCGTCTGGATTGTATGACTGCTGGAGACCAGGCCACAAAACAAGGCCTGGGTGCTGCGGCGTAGCCCCTGCGTCTGGCGATGCAGCCCCCGGCTGCTGCGGCGAAACCAAGGAGGCAACCTGCGCATTGGAAAGTGCACAATCAGCAACACGAAGCGTGCCACACGTGTGTTCGCATGTCAACTGCGCCCGAGACGCCATCATTGTGATGAAGTGGGTAAGGCATGAGGGCATGTATGGTAGTCTCTGCAAAGCGAACACGCACGAAATCCGTCAGAGAGACGTAAACGTGTCCACTCGGAGCTGGATGCTCAATACAGGCTTGAGCCCAGATTGCGGGAACGTGCTCGTTCCTTGCCAGATAAAACCCTCTGAGCCCCAGAAACGCAAATCGACCACCCGTCCAGATACAGGGAATAGTTTCGCACGTGCGGGGGGGGATCATGACCACGACAACAAATAACACTCAAACGCCGCTCTGACAAATATGCCTTCCCGCAGCATGCGTGTCAAAGGGAATGTCATGAATGCTACAGTGATGATCCACTCGAATTGTGCGCGCTTCTGCTACAATATTGTGCAAAAGCAAGAGAGGCAACGAGACGATGCAGACGGAGGTGGGAGTCGGAACGATGCGACCAGCAGTGCCAAGTTGGTCGGTTGGAGCCTTGGTTGCGCCGAGCGGTCATAGCAACGTCGTCTCCGCTCGCAAGCAAGCAGCCTGGACGGCGAACGGAAGACAACCTACCCTAGCTGCTGGCTTCTGTGTAACTCGTGAATTTGAAGCATGCTGGGTTTTCACCGCACTTGGCACACGGGCAATAAAAGCCCGCCCGAGGGCACCATACCCAACAATGCGTCCACGAGGGGGGGCCTTATCAACAGCCAGCCAAGTGAGACAGAGAAGTGTTGGCACCTTGCCTCTCCACCCATTAACTTCTATCCTTATCGCTCGTTGTCTGCTTCTTCTGGCTTCCTGTCTCCAACGCTCCATGACTCGACCAGCGAGTCCAGATGATGGGCGTACCAGGCGAAGGCTCCAGAGTGCTGGAGAGCAAAATCGGGGCCGAACCGCTGAAACTTGGAGGGCGACGCGAAATCAAACAAACTACTCCGGCTACCGATATGGACGCGCGCGAGTACTCCTAGGACCGACATCATCTCAAATCATCTGGACACCCCTGCTGCCTTCCCAGCGTTCTGGAGCCTCCCCGAAATAGAATGAA